CTTCATCAGTAGTATATTAATCCTTGCCTCTACTTCTGTATGTTCTTATGTTGGTATTGTAAGTTTTTCTTTGTGTTCTGCAGTATAATAATTCACACTGGGTAGATTATTGTGGAAAACCCAATCGTTATACCTTATACCTGTTAATTTTCTTCGGCCCTCTGTTTTTCATTGGAAGAAGTGCTTTCAACATGGCTGTGAAGCCCAGATTCAAAGAAGTGCTTTTGTAATGGCCCCACCAGATCAAAAGCACTTATGTATACTTATGGAGATTAATGCGCTGTGTGTGGGAGTGTGTGTGTGTGTGTTTGTGTGCCAATTACAAGGCCGAAGCTACTTGTGGCGGTGGCCGACACTACTTAGCGGACGCGCGACGCGTGGCGTGGTCTAAATTACTTAGCTAAGACGCAGCGACGTATCCAAGAACCTCATCTCTCCTTCCTTCAGATGAAGCGGCAAACGTGCAAGGTAAAATGGGATTGGTCTGGGCATTGCCTTCTTCAGGTCAGCATAGTGAGCAATGTTGAACCAATGACTCACAAGTCCATTATCATTGGTTTCATGTCATTTCAATGGCATCTCAACAACCATGTGCCAGGTGATTGATGTACCTCAAAACCTGGATCTCTCACAACCATTATCGAAAATTCGAAAAGATGTAATTATGGCCTTTGCCGTAGTAATAGAATGTAAATTCATCCTCCTGTGAATTTAAGGTAAAGGCTGTGTAACCATTTTGTAGTGAAGAAACGGTTTGCATAGCCTCAAGCTCTACTAAATGGATGTGCATGCATGATCGAATTTCACTACTAAATGTGGGCCCTTGGTTCAGCTCTTCAGAAAATTCTCCGTGATTGTGGGGATTAAAAAATCCACATGGTTTCGATGATATTCAATGACCTGATTCAAATTGGTCATGGGAAGTCTCGGTAAAATGAAATCATATCCCCATATCATATTGAATCAACATATTAACTATTAACATTCATGATCATGAGCTATGAGGCTCCTTTGAGGGGTACCAAACCTGAGTAAGTGATGGCAAAACAAACCATCAACCAACAAGTGGGGGATCTCCACTTTATCTATTTGGCACAAAATCACCATATAGGATAGGGCTTGACAAGTCATCCGAGATACAATGGACTGCGATCGAATATATCTGCGTTTGTAAGAACAATTAAATTACCCCAAATCCAGTGAGTAATACAATCAAATATCATTATATCATGCTAAAATAATCTCACGAAGCCATTACCACGGCACGTTCATCACCCTTGTCGCCGTGTGTGTGTGTGTTTGTTTGTTTGTTTGTTTGTTTCTTTCTTTGTTTGTTTGTTTGTCTGTATGTATCGGCGTGTGCACGCGCAGGAGTACTACCCCTTTCCATGAACAAACTTCACGCAAAGGACAAACGACAACCACAGCACAACACGAACACAGACATTGTTTTTTTCTGCTGCTGGTTCCTGATCTCAAGTCTGCCCCTCACACGACATTTGTTTTGTCGATGGGCACTTCGCAGATCATTTCGATTTGCTTCAAATGTCTGTCTGTGGAGAAAGTCTTTAAATATATGGTCCCGTCCGGTCCGGTTGAGTTGTCGAACAGTTCCATGAAATGGCGTGGCTGGAAAAAAAACGCAACACACAACCTTCTAGTATTGCGCTACTTCTTTTGAAAAAGTGAGTCAATCCTCTGGCTTTTCACAGGGACTGTTGCTGCTGTTCTAGTTGCAGGTTTTCTCTTCTTTTCATTCTCTTCCGAACTTGCCTTTGCCTTGGCTTTCGCTTTCTGGACTGCCTTTGTGGTCGGAGCGGCAGCCTTTGAACTTGCCTTTGCTGCTGCATCCGGGGCCGTCGCCTTTGGCCTCTTGGTCTTTGGCTCCGGCTCAGCTGTCAACTCTGCAACTGCACCTGCACCCAAACAAGAACAATATCTACCCGGTACCCCCCAAGGTTGCCCAGACGGTGTTGAGTAATTGAGTATACAGAAAAAATGAAAAGGGGTAAACAAAAGTATTTTTGTTGGTTAACAGTCAATGGCCTCCTTCGAAAGTATTGGCACCAGATCCTGAAGAACCAACAATCTTCTTCTCAGCTGTCTCCTCAGGGTGATCAAGGATAGTTTCCTCGGTCTTCTCAGCCTGAACAGGTTCCCCAGGTGTGTCCTTGGTCTCAGCGATGTCGGGCTGGTGAACTTGTTCTTGATCAGGTTGAGCAGGTTCCTGAGGTGTGTCCTTGGTCTCAGCGGTGTGAGGCATCTCCTTGGTCTCAGCGGCGTCGGGCTGGTGAACTTGTTCTTGACGAGGAGGTTGAACAGGTTCCCCAGGTGTATCCGTGGTCTCAGCGATGCCGGGCTGGTGAGGCGCATCAGCGGCGTCGGGCTGGTGAACTTGTTCTTGAAGAGGAGGTTGAACAGGTTCCCCAGGTGTATCCGTGGTCTCAGCGATGTCGGGCTGGTGAGGCGCATCCTTGGTCTCAGCGGCGTCGGGCTGGTGAACTTGTTCTTGAACAGGTTGAGCAGGCTCCTGAGGTGTGTCCTTCGTCTCAGCGGTGTTGGGCTGGTGAGGCGGAGGCGTGTCCTTGGTCTCAGCGATGTGGGGCTGCTGAACTTGTTCTTGAACAGGTTGAGCAGGTTCCTGAGGTGTGTCCTTCGTCTCAGCGGTGTTGGGCTGGTGAGGCGCTTCCTTGGTCTCAGTGGTGTTGGGCAGCTGCTGAACTGGTTCTTGAGGTGTGGAAACGGGCGGCACTGTTGTTGGAGAAGATCCGGTGTCAGCTGCAGGAAGCTGCTCACGTGGGGTCAGGTTGGCAGTGGCGGCAGTGGCTCCTGTCTCCGGCGCTGCTGCTGCTGGTGCAGGAAAACCAGTAATGCTCTCCTCCACGGCTGCATCTATTGCATCTTCCAATGCACCTTGAAGATCCTCCACATTCAGATCACCCCCTTCCCCACCAAATAGATGATCATGTTCATCTTTCAGTCGCACACCCTGCGGGGTTGAGTGCTGCTCAGTATCATCCTCCGCATCCTCCGCAACCTCCTGATCTGGCAAGGCCTGGAGAAGCAAGTCCAAGCCCGGTGACCCTTTTACCTGACAAGGGCGAACAATCTTGAACAAAAAGAAATCCCGCTGATCATAGTCACCATGAAAAGCATGATCATAAACTTGAAAACAATTAAAACTAAAACCATGTGTTCTGTATTTGCCTAGCCTGGTTTGATACCAGGTGAAAACTCTGGAGCGCCGCTGAAGAATAGAAGAAAACATTCATCCTGGATTGTTGTGCTGGTGGCGCCAAATAAATTGATTCAAGGGCGTTATGACTTGAATGGGGTGGCCTTAAGAAGGAAAACACAAAGGCAACATATGATTTCAAAACATTGAACTGTGCTGTGCTGGGTTGGGTGAAACTAGAAGCATAGAATGTGTCCAGTCTTCAGTCAGTGCCCTGAGTGCCCTGGTCCTGAAAGCAATGGAGACATCTGTCAACGACTTCTCACAGAATACCATCCCGCTGGGGACATACAACACGTCGCCCGTCTTCAAGAATCCAGCTACCAGTGACGGCATGCCTTGTGGTTGCTGATACCCTTATAGGATCCCACAGGGTCAAAACAATGACGGCCCCTTCATCTATAAAAGTGTAAACCCGGGTTGGCCTCTTAACGCTGAACTCAGAAACGAAAAACAACTCATCGGTACAAAAACTGCTAATCAAGTTTCAAGTTTCTCATCTCGTCCGGAAGTTGGGAAGCTGTCATTGCTTGCAACTTGTCTCGCGCTAGTTGCAATGACTCAGTTTGGAAGAATGAGAAGCAGTCTTCCGCCAAAGCCATCACAATGATCTTCGTGCCACACACCTGGATGCAGGGCCGGGTATGTTCTCGAAAATGAAAAATGAGGGTGAACTCAAACAGTCAGTATAAGAATGTTTAGTACATATGAACAAATGTCAAGTCAAGAGGAAGAAACATCCTCCAGCCAACCTCCAAACCAAACCCCAACTTGAACTTGAACCGAAGCAACTTGAAGCCGGATGTTGCCGATAGACTGGTTCTCAATGCCATAGTAGCATGAGTGCTGCTTCATGCCACAAACGCAAAGTGAAGCAAGCTCCGTGGCGGCTTGCTGACTGTCACCAGAAAATCCTGGCATGAGTTTTTTGTAAGTGGGGTCAGCATCATGACTGGTCCTGAACACAATTATCCTTACGGAAAATTTTGGATGATGTGAACGGACAAGAGCTAGACAACTTGAAGCCTGTCACATCAATCAATATCATGAAAACTTTTGACTTTTGAGCGTGTAGAACTGTAGAACCTAATTTTCGACAGGTAAGTGATCAAACCTTGATCGAGGGTGCGTTCCAGCATCCTCTCGGAGACAAACACGCCATTCATCTTTGACTCCCACATTTCCTCAGGGAGGAAGTCGAATAGCCCACTTTCCATGGCCAACAGAGCTTTCTTCGCGTCGGGGTCTTCGCTCCCGTCAGGCGACTTGCAGTTCAATAAAGCCCTGGGTGAATGAAATTCAGTGAAATGTTGCAGAAATGTAAAAAAGACAAAGACAGCAAGTAAGTACACAATTTTGCTCACATGTTTGTGATCTGCAAACCCCTCATTTTGTCTTGTCTTGCTCTACTCACCCCACATGAGACAAAAAAGTCCAAATAATTACAAAATACAAGCATCTAAACACCGAAAGTCCTTTTGTTACAGCCTAGGCACGAAAGACGATCAAGCTCAGATGACTTCGTCTTTTCCTTGAAGGTATCCACAATGTTGTCAAAGAACTTTCTTGTCGATGCTTCTTTGCAAATGGTGCCCAGTACGTTTCTCCCTTTGCGCACGATCAGTGGCTTCCCCAAATCGGTGTTGCCATCCATGTCCTTGACAACGTCCATGGGGCGTTTCGCGTTGACCAACCTGGATGACCAGTAAAGTAATCACAAACACAAACACAATGATATGCTTTATAACTTTGATTGCTCACATTCTCACATTAGAAAGAAAGTATAAGAAGTTTCACATTTATAACAACTTTGATTGCACCCCCTGTGCACACAATGCATCATGCGTGTTATCAAGAAAAAATATGTGCAACCAAGCAGCTTGAAGATCTTCAAGACTTCCGGGTCCGAGTCTGCCATGCTCTGCAAGTTGGGGCGTCCCTGCAGTCCTCCGTGGGTGACACTCTTTGGATTGCCAGTAGCCCTAGCCATTTGCTCTTGGAATCTCTCTCTCGCTTTGTTGGTAGACTTGACCATCTGGACAAAATCCAAAAGAGACCTTCGCAGTGAGGAGATGCAAGTCTTCACACCCTTGACCACTTTCATCAACTCTTCATGTTGGTTGTCGATGCAATCCTTTGTGTTCAATGACTCGTAGATTTTTTCCGGGTTCTTGATGTCCACATATGCCTGCACTTCACCTTGACACTGTTCTGTCAGAAAGGGATCGCTTTGAATATGTTTCCTGGCGTTCTCAGTGCCATTGGATGGATCGGCGGAGCCACCCTCAAGGTCTGAAACATCCATGGAATCCGACCCCAAACTAAGAAACTGCAACAAGCGATGCCGGTCAAGAACATTGTACATCATCTTGACAAGTGCCGCATCGTCTCCAAGCTGCAGAGACTGATCAGAAAGGAGACGATCTTCTGAAACCCCAGAGCTCTTCAAGGAAAGGGCTTTGGTCTTGAAGTCTGCCTGCTCTTTGTAGAACTCTTTGACCTTGCTGTCCAGCTCCCGAAACGATGCCTGCAAAAACTTCAGGTGGGTGATCATCTTGGTAGCTGTTCTCAAACGGTATGTACCAACATCGACCTTTTTGCTGCTGCTGCTGCCAGCTTTGGAGGCGCTGCCCTTGTTCTTGTTCTTGCCGCTGTTACTCTTTCTGCCATTGCCAGAGCCAGCAGGAAGTGGAATGATGCAAGTCTCATCCGAAGTAGCCTCCATGAGAAACTCCGAAGACTTAGTAGGCGGAGGGAGGGCGGAGTCTCAATGTCGAAACGTGAAATAGCTAATTGGCTGAAAACTAAAACCCGCCACCAAATCTAATTTCAAACTATCCGTGCTCATCATCGTGAGTGAGCAAAGATACAGAAGCAGACAGGAAAAATGATAAATTATAAGAGGAAAATAATCTGGATATAGTACTATATCAACCCAGTCCCAGAAGCTTTGAAGAAGGTCTCATCCGCAGACATGGTCAAGAACGACAGGGTCCGTTGCTTTGCTGCCAAGGCAGCCTTGGTATTTGCTTCCTTGCTCTGCTCAACCACGGATGCTGACCGTTTGTCATCATGGATGAACTCTTTCGATTTCTTGATCTCAACCTGGACATAGACATGCTGAACTCTCTCCACACGACCGGTCTTGGCATCGTAGATGTCAATCATCTCCTGATTGTTAAAAAATACAGGTTTAGACACAGATGTCAGTCCATGTCCAAACATATCCGTTTTTTTTTGTTTAAACTTGAAACACCTTTGTTGAAAGAAAACGAAAACCTTTTCACCCATGAAGTCAATCAACCAACCGCTGTCCTTCTCCGTGGCCGTGTTGCTTGGGTTCACATCACGAATCCATGCCTCTTGGGCTTGTTCTCGTGTCAATCTATCGCACTCCGGAACCTTCTGAGTATAGTGCTCTATGTAGACAGAATGCTTCATAGCTAGCCATCCAGCGCCAAGTTTTGATCGCTTGGTGGTCTCTGTCGTTTCCGAGTAAAGAACCTCGGATGGATGATGGATGACGGAAACATGTTGAAACTTGAAGTCTTAAACTTAAACCTAGACACCTTTAGATACACAAAGAGAAGGGGGGTTGCGGGTGCCAACCCTGAATTAAAAAAAAATACTTTCACATTGATAAGTCCCAAGAACCGACCTGGGGTTGAAAGGCTGGCGCTGGTGACCCCGGCCAGTTTTTTTGCCACCAGCCGTCGAGCTCTCGTACTCTGCAAAGATTTTGCGGTACTTCTCTGGGTCCTCCTTTGACAAGTTCTGGAGGTACTTGCTGGTGGACTCGTCATCTTTGCTGCCCTCTGATCCTTTGCTAGCAGTCAAGATAGCACGTAGACCCAGGCTGCACTTTGGACAGTGGGCTTGATAGCGTGTGCTACGTCTTGATTGAAAGTCATCGTCAGAGAACTCAACCTGGCAAACAATGCAAATTTCTTTGGAAGCCATTGTGTCAGCCAGTGGCCATGGCAAGTGAAAAAACCAGGCCGACCCTGTCAGGGACAGTTGAAAATGGAATGTTGGGCCATCAGGCGTCAAGTGAAGTGAAATAAATGGTTTGATCATGCCTAGTGAAGGCTCAAGTTCAATCTCTTGATGGCCAGGAAGTCACCAACCCAAACTATTCAAACGGCTGCCTGAAACAAAACAAACCCGGTCATCACCCGGCAATCTTTCCAGAAACATTTTCACTTCCAACTGCGCATGATTGTCCAATTTGTTTGACGCAACTTACTGGGAAAATGGAGAAAGGTAGGCCAGTAGCTAATTGGCTGGCTGGCTGGCAAGATTCACCTTTCTCTGATCTACCGGGCGCACATTTGAGCCACATCAAAAAAATGTCAGCAAAAGCTGAGAAGCTTCGCCAACTAGTTTAAGCTCATCCCTCATGTTCATCCTCCATGTCCTTGTCCCCATTCCCATCAGAGCCGTCCTCATTCTCGGATTCAGACAAAAAAACGTGCTTGGCCGAAGGAGCTAACACAGGACGAACGGTGGCTGGAATGGCCTCAAACTCGGCAGTGGGCATCACAAACGAAAGGGAGAAGGCCAGCAGAGCGGTCATGCATCCCTGCTGGAAACTGTTGCCACTAAGACGCTTCTGGGCAGTGGTGGACACAATGCTGGCATCAAAGAACGGTTCTGAACATCCTGCAGCCTTCAACGAATCTGGGTACATTGGAATGCCCTGCATCTCCAGCATCTCCTTCCAACAAGATTTGTAGTAAGGTCTGAAGATAATGAGAAGGTGACCAACAATGGAATAAATGACTCATGATAAAGAACCATTTAATTTAGATAATGGAATGGCCAACAAAATATATGTGCAACATAGATGGGATACCAACAACATATACTAATTGGAAGATCGCGATCATCAAACTAGAACTGGAAGAGAGACAGAACAAAAAATAACAACCACACCGTAACAAACCGACCCCCGTGTCCTTGGGACAAAAGGGCCTTCCTTGCAAGATGCCCCAAATTGTGGTGCTCGATGCGAGCAGCACCGGAGCGATCTGGCCCAAGTGCTCTTGAACCAGCGGGTTCTGTGAAAGGTTGATGGCCACCTCCCGACTATGTAAAAGCGCTTCCCTCACCTTTTCCATCCTGAGAGCGCTCTGGAGATGAACACTGGCAGCCACAGGAAGCAAGTCTGTCCACGGAGATGTTGCTGCTTTTTTGGCCTTGCTGCCGGCTATAGGCTGTACACCCACCCATGTCTAGAAAGTCTTTGAGTTGGAGTCCGTTGGAGGTTCAGGAAGTAAAACATACCATAACTTTCTTAGGAAATCAAAATCAAAACAATCCATTCCACCGGCATGCGTGCCACAGGGAAACAAAATGACCAAAACCAAGGATCATTCTGAGCCATTTGAGATCGCAGTAGCTGCACCTGCAGGTACAGTACAGTCAGGTACTACATTGACCGCAGTGACAACTAAAACCGATTAACACCTTTCAGAATTCAAACTTGATGCTCGAAAACTTGATGGATAGATACCTCATGACTCCCATCTTTACACATTACAAAAACAAAGTGGCACTGAAACATTTGTGTATTTCGCAAGTCTTGCCTCATCCTCTGGAGCTGCAAAGAATGCTCGGCAATCCATTCCAGGTGAAATGAACAACCTGTATATGTCATCCAATCCCCGAAGCAAAGTCATGTCCTCCCTGATCAAAAGACTGTAGAGCCTTGTTCTGCGGATGGGGAAGCCGTAGTCTGTTGGACGGGTGAGGATCGATTCACAACGGTACCCCGGAAAAAGGGCAGCAAAGATCTTTGCATCAAAGGTTTGAGTGCACTCGTGCACGAACACCCGTGGACGGGTCTTCCGCAGAACTGCACACATGATGGCGAAGGCCAGAACTGATGGACCCAGGAATCCGGTTCTTGATCCCATGCTGCTCCTCCAGGGATGCATGATGTTAAAGCGAAACTATGATCCCTTTGAGACTGAAGCCTTGGCACTGTACATGGTTACTAAAGTCACTAGTATGAACATGTTGATTGCTTAACAACAGACAACAGTCAACAGAAAAGAAAACTTGTTTTCAACCGCTTCAGTCCAGTCTTTGCATGTGCTCCCCACCACTGCTAGGAGCAACTCCAGCTCGGACAACTCCTTGAGGGATACCTCATAAGCGTGCCAAGTCAAACCTGAAAATTCATGCAGTGACCATGTGAGGAAAACTTCTTTTGCCTAGTAGCCTAGCGGCTCCTGGAAGGCTAGCAACCCTAAGACCTTACTGACTGCATGTACTCTTTCTATCTCTTGCTACTAGATACGGCTCAACGGTTCAACTCTTATTTTGTTTGTTAAGTTAAATTAAACTGATTATGGTAACCACCACAGTGACTGCCACATTGGTCCAAATCCCTTTTCACCCAGCCACTGGTGCATCGCCACCTGTTGAAACCGCATCTTTGAGCATCTTTTTCTTTTCGATCTCCTCAACCAAATCCCTAACCAACTGCTGCGCCATGCTTGCCAGCTCTTGCTTTGCACTTCGGACTGCCTTGGCTGCTTCCTTCTCAGCCTTCTCGGGGTCCACAAGGTCCTTCCCCTTGCCCTTGCGGCTTTTGGTGTTCTTCTTGCCGTGGGAAGTAGAAGCCGTTGGCTTTGCAGCCGCTGCAGACGGTTTGATATTCATTTTCTTGTAGAGAGATTGGCATTCACTTTTCTTCCGCTCGATCACCTCCAAAAGGCATTCTGCGCTTCCTTCTGTAAGGAAGTCCTCCAAAGAGTGGACCAAGAAGTCTGGAGCATCCTTGGTTGGGATCTGGGCTGGGCTGGTTCGAAACGATTTAGAAAATAGTTATTCGCATTATGGTCAAACAATCAAACCCGGCAAACCCCCAAAGTCTTGCAAAAGCAGGGGAAGCGGATGAGCAAAATGCAATTTTTCTTCATGCCATGATCAAGAATCTCGGTGGGCTTTCAGTACCCTTTGGCAGTCGGCATTGAAATCGCATGCCAATAGGTTCCTAGGCTTCGTGGGGTAGCCAACTTCCGACTCCAACTTATTCTTTTCCACATAGGAACGAAGAGCTGTGGTTGTCAGCGATGTTGCAATCTCTGCACCTCCAAGTCCAGAGTACAAAGGCAACACTGACAAAGACGACAGGTTTCTGGACAGCCTGCTCAACGGATCCAAACCAAAATGTTTGTGGATCCTCTCCAAGTTCCGCATGGGGTAGGAGAACATCTCGGTCCTGCTTCGTGTGGCCTCTGGCAAAGATGGTTTCTCTGGGCTCGGTGGCAACTCATCATTGGCCTGAAAATCCAAGAAGGACTCCATTGATGGCCTTGGTTCTGGGCTGGAAGGTGCTGGTGCCAGCACTGGCTCCTCCTCTTCACTCTTTACTTCTGCACTGGTTCCCTGTCCCTGTTCTGACTGTTGGCTCTTTGCTCTTTGCAACACAAGCTGGCCTCTCTTTCGCCTGGGTGGCTTCTCTGCATCTGAATCTCCAGTCTCTTCCGCTTTGACTCCCTGTACAGCCAACCTTTGCTGGCCTTCAGGCGGTGGCATGTCAAAAGGATTGGGCTCTTGTGCTCCACTTGTTGCCTTGCTAGGCCTCTTCAACGCAGAGCGCCGACGCCGACGGCTGTGTGAAACCTGGCCATCTGGTGCAGCCTCTGCTCTCTTCTTTGCTGCTGGTCTTGACTTGGCTGCGGTCCTTTTGGGTGCTGCTTTTGCCTTTGCCTTTGATTTTCGAACTTTTGCAACTTTACTTTTTGCCGCAGTGCTGAGCTTGGCCTTGGCCAAAGCATCTGCTTTGGTTTTAGCCATGGCCTGCTGGAGGCCTGGAAAATCCTAGACTTGAAATTTGAGCCAGGACTCAGAACGCGGGAGTCAGGAGTCTTGTTTCATGAGCCCATGGGTCATGAGTCATGAGCTGAGCTGTGGTCACTGTTAATGGTAACCTGGTTAAGGCTGCCTGTTACTTGCTAAACTCAAACTACATCACCTTCTGCTGTTTTTCCTGAAAAGAACAAAACAAAACCAGAACTGCTGCCTTTTCCCTTGTTGAAACACTGTGCTGTGGCTGGCCTGAATGCGTCTGGAGTTTTGTTTCAAACAAATCCATCGCACACATTTGGCCAATATAGATTTAGCAAGGCTGACTCACAAGCCCTCTTGGAGCTGTAGACTTTGTCATCTCCCAGCCATACTGCGTTGCCACGGTCAGCAGCGACAGCTGATGACAGTGCTGCCCTAACATGTGGACGTCGGGCATCATCAGACTCAAGGCTACCAGGATTGATTCCCAAATCAGAGAACCGTTGCCGGATGAATGGCAACAGTCTAAGACAAGCAGTACGCCTCTTCTTGCTGTGCCTGCCTGGATACAAGGTGTCTGCAGCTTCAGCATCAGTCCCATCAGAACTGCCAGAACTGGAACTTGAACTGGATGAAGACGAAGAACTTGAACCAGCCTCACCCCGGACAACATCACCAGCAGCTTAAAGATGGTAAAAACAATGTGACCCTTGGGAAAACAAAGCTTTGAAAAAGCTAGGAACATAGAGGCAAGAATATTGAAAAAACAAAGGATCGGAAGCTCAACGGAGAGCAGCATCCGTTGGGGTTCGGAGCAAGACAGTTTACAAGGGGATGAGGGGTGATACCGAGGAAGGAGTGGCGAAGGGTTGCAAAGCAAGGACAGTAATGGGTATAATACAAACACCATGATAAAGTAGATGAATGTAAGAAGAACATAGATGGGTATACAGGACGGTCCACATGTTGATAGTCTTGATATGTCCATGTGCCAGAGCTGCAGCATCACACAGTAGTGGCAGAAAAGTAGGTCAGAAGCAGGTGATATATACATATATATATATATACATATTATGTATCTGGATTCCCTATCTACCATGAATTCAGCAAAAGTGGCTAGCCAAAAACACATGATTAAACTTGCTTCACCAGAAAAAAGGACGAATGTAGGTCAAAGGCAAGTGAAGAAGAACTGGTGAAACCAGCAACTTTTCATACTTATATGTAAAGGCAGAAAGTAAGCGAAAAGTTGGTGAAAAGCTGGTGCATTCATCAACTTACTGTAATTAACTTTAAGATCAGGAAGTAAGTGAAAAGTAGGTGAAAAGTAGGTGAAAAGTAGGCGAAAAGTAGGTGATGCCAGCAAGTTTAAATATTTCCCATGTAGGCAAGATGTAAATGAAAAGTAGGTGAAAAGTAGGTGAAAACAAACATTTTTAGATATTTTCTATGAAAGCAAGATGCGCATGGAAAGTAGGTGAAAAGTAGGTGAAAAGTAGGTGAAAAGTAGGTGAAAAGTAGGTGAAACCAACCATTTTAAATATTTGCCATGAAAGCAAGATGTGCATGTAAAGTAGGTGAAAAGTAGGTGAAAAAGAGGTGAAACCAGCAATTCTGCATATTTACATGCCACAGCATAAAAGTAGGTGAAAACTGGACGAACAAGGGGTGAAACCAGCAGTTTTGCTCATTTACATGTCAAAAGAAGGAAGCTGGTGAAAAGTTGGTGAAAAATATAAAATGATCACCTACTTTGTCCACAGCCCACAAAGTAGGTTAAAAGTATATGAATTCCACAATTTTTTTACTTCCTCTGTCCAAATGCAAGAAAGTAGGTGAAAAGTAGGTGAAAAGTAGGTGAAATCAAAAATCACAACCCAGGAAGTGCTTTTGACCCAAGCTCTGGAGTCAAAAGGAAGTGGGTGAAAAGTAGGTGAAAAGTAGGTGAAAAGTAGGTGAAAAGTAGGTGAAAAGCACTTATTTTGGTGAAACTTTAGGTGAAAAGCACTTAATTTTCACCAAAAACAAGGTCAAAAGCACTTCTTTGGTGAAAAGTAGGTGAAAAGTAGGTGAAAAGTAGGTGAAAAGTGTTTTGCAATCCCAGACAAAGCCACATGCAAATAATGCCACGAGAAATGGTAAAACAAGAGAAAGTAGGTGAAAAGTAGGTGAAAAGTAGGTGAAAAGCAGCAAACATATAAAATTCAACTTTTTAACCTTTTAAACAAAAAGTAGGTGACAAGTAGGTGAAAAGTAGGTGAAAAGTAGGTGAAAAGCAGCAAACATATTTTTTAAAAAAATAACATGTTAAACAAAAAGTAGGTGAAAAGTAGGTGAAAAATGGGTGAAAAGAAGCAAACATATAAAATTCAACTTTTTAACATGTTGAGCAAAAAGTAGGTGAAAAGTAGGTGAAAAGTAGGTGAAAAGTAGGTGAAAAGCAGCAAACATATAAAATTCAACTTTTTAACCTTTTAAACAAAAAGTAGGTGAAAAGTAGGTGAAAAGTAGGTGAAAAGTAGGTGAAAAGCAGCCAACATATAAAATTCATTTTTTGTACATTTGAAACAAAAAGTAGGTGAAAAGTAGGTGAAAAATAGGGGAAGAGAAGCAAGCATATAAAATTCAACTTCTTAACATTATAAACAAAAAGTAGGTGAAAAGTTGGTGAAAAGTAGGTGGAAACCAACCACTTTAAATATTTGCCATGAAAAGCAAAATGTGAGTGGAAAGTAGGTGAAAAGTAGGTGAAAAGTAGGTGGGAAAGAGGTGCGGCGCAGAAACCATAGAAAGTTTACCTTTTTAACTTTAAACAAAAAAGTAAGTGAAAAGTAGGTGAAAATTTGGCAAACTTGCACTTGCAGACTTTCATGTCAAAGCAGAAAGTAAGTAAAAAGTAGGTGAGAAGTAGGTGAAACCGACCTGTTGTTCACTATTTATTAAGTCAATATGTAAATGAAAAGTATGTGGAAAGTAGGTGAAACCAAGAAAATGTCATCTAATGTGTCGAAAATCGATAAAGTTGGAAGTTGGAAGAAGGTAAACAAAATCTAATTTTATATTGGTCAACTTTTAACAATAATCCAGACAATAAATGAAAAGTTGGTGAAGCAAATATACATGGTAGATATTTGCACATATTATTATTACACCTGCTGTTGTCAGCATTGCCAAAAAGTAGCTGAAAAGTAGGAGAACCCACTTGCTGTACGAGTGGTCGTTTCACAGTCTTGCTTGTTTATTGGGTTTAGTTTAGTGTCATCCTGTCAGCCTGTCAATGTCCTCAATGTCCCAGTCCCAGCAAGACAAACAACAAGTCTTTCTCATCCGGAAATTCTTTTATATATTTAGCAAATGGCAAACGGTAAACCATCAGTAAATCTGTAAGTTTTAAATCCACATAAGTTCTCAGGATTCTACACTACACTATTCCCGTGGTAGATATTTTCCACTTAGTAAGTTGAAGTTGCTGCAGACTGCAGACCTCTTCCACCACTGCGCTATCATGACTTCCGTGGTCCTGGCAAGCACCGCAACAAATGGGTCAAAGAGCAATGGGTAAATCATTGATAATAACAACCATGGTTAACCAACAATAACGATGATGGGTATACTCATCATGTTTTTAGCTCAATAATAATGGAACCATCACCTATAAGGGATGATGATCAGTGACCACGGTCTGGTATTTCCTGGAACACCTTTTCTTTGGGACCCACACAGGGAACAGCCAGCCAAAGATAATATGATTTCTTGATACCTCTGAACCTGGTAACCTTGACTCTTGGGATCATGAATTCACCATTGTACATTCTGAAGCCATATCCTGTATAATCCTGTAGAATTACTTCTGCACATAGAGAGATAACTCCTGACTACATGACTTGTTTTTTTGCATGTGGTTGCGGTCCTCTTCTGCAGCAGCCTCATCGCCAACCAAAATATTGTTGTCGCCGTTGTCGAAGATGTCACCACGAACCTGCGCGCACACTTGGAAGCAAGAATGCCGGCGGTATAGTGATGGAGAGTAGGGATGTGGAGGGATTAGAGATGGAGAGAGTAGAGATGTGGAGAGATTGGAGATGGAGAGAGTAGGGATGTGGAGGGATTAGAGATGGAGAGAGTAGGGATGAGGAAAGATCAGAGATGAAGGGAATAGGGATGTGCAGAGATTGGAAAGGGAGAGAGTCTTTTCAAGAGGCTCCGCCTAACTTTTCACTCCTGCTGGTGAATTATGAACAGATGATACAACATATTGTTAAACTGTTTTACTGATTGACTGTTCTTAAATATCTATAATAAGTTTAATCACCCCAGCCCAGTGCATATCACTTAAATAGCCCTTTTGCCATTTGATGGTTTTTGTAAATTATTCCCATAGAGCCACTTGGCATGGGTGGTCCATGCAACCCCTTGCCTTTCCACAGAAATGAAAGCTGGTATCCAAAAAAAAAAGTTCTTATTTCTGATGTGCACAGATATGTGTCTGATGTGTCTAATGTCTCAAAAATGGTAGTGACGAAAAAGTGGCCTCCTCCGCCAGAGCAGTTGGTAAGTCTGCAGCGTCTACAGGAGTACCAGGTTCATAGTCGGAGTCCATTGCCTTCACACAGGACGCAGAGTAAGGTAATATGATATACGCCTCTAGGTTTCAGAATCAAATTTGGTGGCTAAGATATGTGACTGATTTGTCTATATGCTGTCTCAAAAGTGGAGGTCACAAAAGGTGGCCTCCTCCGCCAGAGCAGTTGGTAAGTCTGCAGCGTCTACAGGAGTACCAGGTTCATAGTCCGAGTCCATTGCCTTCACACAGGACGCAGAGTAAGGTAATATGATATACACCTCCAGGCCTCTAGGTTTCAGATTCAAATATCTGGCTAAAGGGTTTCAGAGCTCCGTCAATTATGGAATTAAATCCAACTTGGATTCATACTTGTAGTGGGTCCCATACCTCTCTCAGTTGGATCAATCACTACTGAAGAGTTGGAGGAATGCGCTCTAGTAAAAACCAGAAGGCAATCCCGACATCTTCAACCAAATTGATTGTAAACCAGTAATTTTTGGTTTGATGGTAAAATATTCCAGATTGAAAGAGCAGTAAGTGTAAGCTGAATCATCATGAACTTGGTGGATAAGGTTAAGGCCCTATTGGATTTAAACAAGTTCGCAATGTAGCTCGCGGTACCCAGAATGAGAAATGGTTGGTTGGCTGGTTGGCTCTAGCAACCTTTGCAGCGGTTGGTTTTGTTCATGCTGCCCTGGGCTGCCCAAAGGCCCCAGTAGCTTTTGGCAAAGTCAAAGAACGCCTTGGTTTGACTATGGCAGTTTGTTTATGTTTGTTTGTAAACATGCATGTATAGACTAAATGGAAAGAACCAAATATAACATTTGAATGAAACCGGCCTGATATGGTATGTACAATATTCAGCTGTTGCATATGACATGTAAAAGTCTACAGTTGGGTCCAAGAGAGTATGGATCAAAATAAAAAACATGGCTTTTGTTTCTACTAACCGACTGGCCAATACCAAGCAAATACCATTTTGTCTTAAGTCTGTGCCTGCAAAAACATTGTTTCTTTAAAGATATTAAACTGACTTGTTCCATCAGAACTGTATCCCTCAGACCAGAATCCTCCAGCTCACATTGGTTAATCACCTGATATATCACCATCCTGGAATGCCCTGGCATCGGCAGAATAGGAGACATTTTCAAATTATTCAACCCAACCCGCTGGACTCACCTTCTCCTCCTCTACTGTGTGGCTGACATTCCCCAAGTCCTGTCGGCGGAAGTGTTGAAAAATCCAACCAAATGCAACAGCATGGCTAATGGCCACTGTCCCACTGTCATTGTCCAGTCCAATAACGTGTTGTTGGTTGAGTCTGACTCTGGCTGTGCCCCTTTCAACAAGACTAGCATTCAAACAACGAACAAAAACCATGTTTGACCAGGACCAGGAATGAATAGGGAATCTGGTGGCGTCATTCATGACTGACTGCAAGGTTTCTGCGAAGATTTCTTTTTCCAAAAGTTGCGGCAGAATGACTGGTGTGAATGTATACATTTTTTTGCTTGCCAACCTAAACTGTAAACGCAAATTTGGCATCTTTGGCAACTTTGGCACTGCTGCTGCTCTCAAAACTTCTGGTCAGAAATCGGGATGCTGGGAATCTGGTAGGGCTGGCGGATCCGAAAGGAATTTCCAAATTTCCCTTTCATCTTCTGTATCAGGGTCTGTTGCAGGAGGAAAAGGAGAATCATCAAGCTTCATCGTGTTCAAGAAAGGTTCATAATCTTCCAACTTGGGAGGCATTGGAACCCCGGCCGTATCTGGAGTTGAGGATGGAGTGGAAGTTTCCTCTCCTGCCTTTCTGAGAATGTCTTTGCTTGAGCTGCTTGAGTACTCAAACCTCAAAGGAAAGTCCTTCGACGTTGGGACTGGATTCAACTTTCGTTGGCCCGCAGCCAGATCGGCTGTATCAAAGACAAATGTTGCCCCAAGCCGAGAACGGATCTTCACCTCTGTCACATTGACAATTCCACGGTCAAGCATCTCTCGGTCAAGCTGGGCAGGCCAACTTGTGCTCCAGCCAATGAAAAAACACATGTCCATCCCTTTGCATGGAGATGGAGGTGATTCCGAAGGTACTGGAAGGGGTGTGATGACGCCGATCAACTCGGAGCTGTTGACGGAACTCGATTCACTTGAGAGGCTTGACCAGGTTGGGTTTTTGAAGGCCTCTTCATATTCTTTCCGTTGCTTCTTTGCATCAGGCAGCTCTAGAGGTCCCCGATCATGATGATCATGACAATCATGACCAGTCTCCATTTAGAACCGAAAGCGATTCACAGGGCAAATGTGGGAGCTGGACACTGGCTACAAAAGGCTTATATATCCTGATCCAAGATTGCAGCTGGCAGCAACAACAGTTGTCAGTAGGCAAAGACTTCATAGATGATGACGTAAACCGTTCCGTAAACCATCTGATTATTGTGATGATTGGTCTGGTGGCTGGCCCCTGCAGAATCAAACTCCCCACCCACCTTTCATGAGACACTCTTTCACGTGGCCCCTAATTCCCATCCAGCGCTGCCCACAACCCACGCCTCCACCACCACCAAATCACTTTCTGAATGGTCATCACCGCCACCACCACCAGTGTCCTGCACGGATATGAGACTCCTGTTATGGGTAGAAGTGTGAACTACTTGAAAGGGAAAGAAAGGGAAAGGGGATTAAAACAAAGAGGATTAAAATGATATCAAGAGATGAGTTGATAAGCGCCAGCTAACTCAACAACCATCGCATCCTTGACCGCAAACTGCAACAGGGTCCTCTTTGGCCTGTTCATCTTCATCTACGTCAACAAAATCAAAATTGGGAACCGAGGCTGCCGGGGCTAGCTCCTGTGACCGACAGAATCCGAAGGCCAACTTGAAACATTCACCCTTGGCCCCATTGCATCATAAACCTGACTCTTGACTTCGCAGTCTAAGAAAGAAACAGAATTGCCTTGTAGCCTTGCAGTATGTGATTGAAAGGAAATATCAACCAATCGGATTTTTTTTTGAGTATTTCTGTGTATGACCACGCCTTGGAGCCTTCAAAGTCCAAGACAGTGAGAAACCCAGCTGCGGCGTTCTGGGTCTCAGACGCCGAAGCCTTTGTTGACTGCAAATGTTTGGTCAACTTTTTGTAGACATCAGCTTTGCTCCCTGGCTCCAGCTGAGCTAGCTTGTCTGGGTCCTCCTTGGCCAATTGGATGGCTGCTTGGTAGAATGCTTCCAGCTGCCCATGGTACAATGTAAATCCCAAAGCGTGTAGGGCATCACAATTCAACAAACACAGCCAGTACCAGTAAGTGTCCTGGTAGAACTTCTTTTCCATCCCAGGTTGAACATATTCACGCTTCAATTTTGCAGTTGATTCTTGCCAATTTTCCCTGACCCAACCAGTCTTGCATAGATTCACATAAAGTTCCCATTGGGTCGGCCGGTTTCCTGGTTTCAAATTGAGACGGTCCAACTGGAAGGAGCTGCCAAGGCGTTGTTCAAAAACTGGCCGCGGCAAAGTCAAAACAAGCTGACAAGAGAAAACTGATGGAGCCAATTGCACAGACTGTCCATGTTTGGTGCGAACCAGGATAGACTTGTTGACCAAGTTGTCAATTGTTGCCAATTCTGCTTCAGAAGTCATTCCAGCAATGTCGTAGTGCGTGGAAGCACCAACAACAGCGCATGTACCAGCAACTTCCTCAATCAAAGAAAACTCTGACTCCCCTACAGAGCTGGGCTGAATGTTCATGCTGTGGTGAAGTCTTGATGCATGGGTCCATTGCAACATGCTCTCTACAAGCTCTTCGGTGTTGGCACCTGCAAACAGTTTCACCAATGGAACTGTTGGGTGGTCCACAGCTGATACTGTCACAGATTGCGGGTTAGCATTTTCCACCTTGCAAATTCGAATGCAAACATCATCCGTTGTCAAACTGTCTGCAAAAGACAGGGGCCTCTTCTTCAGTGCGGGTCGTTTGTCAGAGACTCGAAAAACAATCAAACCCGATGAATTTGCCGCAAATCGAACCATATCACGCGAGAGCATGTCTTGAGGCATGCATTGGGGCACTGATTGAGCCGAAGGGACTAGCTTAGCGGTGCTGCTAGAAGAGGGCTGAGCATCACAAGCACCAACCTCATTGTCCGAACCGGAGTCAAGCTCAATGACCTCAATCAGGTTGGGTTTTTTGATGATGCTGCTGCCAGCTTCGGAATCTTGAATCGCAAGAAAGGGAACTACCTCTTGTGAAACAGAAGGGTTTGAGTCCTTCTGGATCCTCTCCCGGTCACTCAGCGGCAGTGCTGTATTGGCTTTGTCGGCTACTGGAAGAAGGGACTGGGATGTGTGTCCCAGAATTGCAAATGCCACTGCGTCTTCCAAAGGTCTCATTGGCCGTTCAGTAAACAGGTCCACAGGCAATGAATACCACCCCAATGGATTCATACAGTCTCGAAAATGTTGCTGCAAGAGCTTTGGTCTCACTCCATTGTCGTCAAGGGGTTTTGCATGCTTACTCTTGTCCTTCATGCAAAGTGCAGCCATGCTGTTTTGCATCTCGGGTAGGGTTGTAGTCCCTGCTGAAAACTGAAGGTCTCTACCATAGAGCAACCGTCGCATCTCTTTGTAAGTGAGAGTTCGAGCTGGTTCCTGGGCCGGGGATTCTGGAATTGAAATTCGATAACAAATTCTCAATATTTGAAACTGTCAAGCAGTGTCAAACAGAAACCTGCATTGGCAATGCCGATATCGAAACCAAATTGCATGATGTCATGATATGTCAAGTGGGTCCCGTCCCGTCCCATCATGGAGCTGCCTCAAAAACAGAACATGTAAACCCCACTACAGGCCATGGGCCATGGGCCATGAGGCCATGAAGATCAGAAGGTTCAGAATCATTTTCCGAGAGGTATGTATGGATTCCCTCTACGATAAAGTTGATATGTCTAATATGTCTCTTCTGAAAAGTAACAACCATACCCCCTTTCTGGCTTGTATAAAGTATAATCAGTACCATTGTTGTATCTTAAGTGGATGGTCTGGCTAAGAGGCCAAGAGACAGTGATGGGTCGCGTTCACGGCCTCTAATATTATATAACTGATTTTGTTACTACAAGATATTTTTCAAGCTGATTAGGCCACATCAAAAAATAGGAAATCGATATCAATATCCTGCCAGAACCTTTTCAATTCAAACACCAACAAATGGCTGCAAAAAAAGGCACCTTACTTCTGATTACCTTCGTTGATTGCTTGTTTGATCCAGGTTGTATCCGATTATCTAATCTAAGATCATCCACCCACATTACCCTTATGTCCAGTTTAAAAGAATCAATGTCAATGTTGCACACTTTTGAAACCCAACCCTCAAAACATGTGAAACCAACTGAACCACCTGCAGTCAAAAAACACAGTCTATCCCACCAATCGCTTCAGCAACTGCCTCGCTGGCGCCTTGCTGGCCATTGAGCTTCTGATGTCTGTTTGCTGCACTCACCAATGCCTGAAGGAAGGGCCAATGAAGTAGAAATCAAGTCGGTTCTTTCCCAAAATTCTTATAAGTGGGGATTAGAACTGGGGTCAGTCAAGGGTCGGAAACAGAGGGTTTGTCGTTGGAAATTTTGAACTACTTCGGAAAGGCCAAGGAAATTAAAAGCAAAAAACTAAAACATCATATGAAATCTCTGGGCAAACCACCTGAGGATCCCCAAGAAAGTGATGGACCTCCTGTTGCCGGAGTTCAGTCGATATGTAGCTTACAGATGCATGTGGTGCACGATTGAGAGTCTGCTTGATGCCACGGTGCTGTCCCTGCATCGTTGGGCTTAGGCGGCTTAGATGTGTATATTTCCAACTTCACCAAAACAAAACCCAGTAACCATGACACATTGCAGACATGCTGCCCAATTGAACTACTGAACCTGGATTATCCCGAATCCCCAATACGGATTATCAACATCATATCACTATCCTCTTTTGGGTCAGGAAAAAAATCCCAGTATTGGACGAAAACACAAACCAAAATTAAAATGAGCTCACCTCTGTATCTCGCTCGCAGCATCTGAGAAGCCTCAGTGCACCAACCCACTGTCTCAGCCCATTGGCCCCAACGAAGTTTCGCAAAGGCACCCCATTGATGAAATCATCCACTTCTCTGTGTAGCCCTTGCTCACCAAAGTCCTAGATGTCACCAAGATCAAGACCCCAGAAGGCTTTGGGACCATGGGACCACCACTATAAAAGATCAAAGATACCGCTATCGGGTTTAAGACTATGTTATCTATCAGTTCAGTACTGTAGAGAGTATTGTTCTACAGTGGATAGCCCCAAAAGGAAGCCAAGACTGTTGCAGAAACCAAACAGTGACAAGTTGATCAAAGCAACTGGGTCGAAGAATCTGCGAGTGATTGCATGTGCTCCAGATGTGCCAGCTGGACCAACTGTTGATGCCACAAACAAAGCTCTGCACTCCCTTGCAACTTGGCGGGCCTCTTCAGGGTTTTCCGAGGCCATGCCTGCCAACCTCCAAGGGAGTATGCGCCAGAAGCCGCTCCGTAGGCTTGTCTGAGTCACAATCATGTCTGTAGCAGCCTGCCAATCTGAAAACAACTTGGTTTGGTCATCCTTAGGCACTTCCAATGATGCAGCAACAACACGCTCTCTGCCGGTTTTCAAGAGGTGCAAAACGAATCGCTCATATTCACCAGTGGCAAACTCATGAGCCCTCCTCCCTTTGAGCTTGCAGGTGGCATGTTCGACCCTGCCTTCCCTGTTCACACCACGTGATGCTGAAGGAGCTGGCAAAACTGCAGCTGCGCCACCTTCAGATTCACCTTCTTCTTCTCCGGTAGCATCTCTGCGCAGCTTTTGCCCAACTGCTTTGATACGGGAACGATACCACTTGTTGTCTTTGAGATCCAGTTCGTGGCAAGAACATCCTTCGGCCCAACTGGATTGAATGTCAATAGCCCCCGCTAGTGTTTCAATAAGCTGCGCGTAGCCCCAGAAAGTGCGACTGCGGATTGCCGTTGTCACCAAAGAGCAAATGTTGCTTGGATCTGTCACGCGCCCTGTGTCGTTGAACTTCTCAGCACTCCACCCTGCCAGGGTTTCGACCGAAAAAACTGCTTATGATCTAGATGATATTTTGTCAGCAACAAAGATTTTCTTTGTGCTTGAAATTCAGCAAGTTAGACAAATCCGGCAAAAAAAACACAGTTTCCACTATTAGGGCTTCAATAAGCGTACTGTACTTAAGAAATCTCGAAGTGTTTCGTTTAGTAAGTGATGATGAGTCACCCAACACACCCCTGAACCGAACAAACAGCACTGGCACCTAGCTAGTAGTGGACCCTTCCACCACCGTCACCCTCATGGCTATCACCTTTTACTTACAACCATCAACCATCATTCGACTAGTGGCTTTCCATTTGGCATTTGACCGAAGTTTCAAAATAGGAAACCTATAGGAGAGGTTGGTTGATGTGAATCACGGATTGCAGAGCGAATCCACTGATGGACCGAAAGGTGGTTGGAGTTGTGTTTTTTGGGGTGGTTGCAATGGTTGCAGTGGTCACCTCACCCACAACTGCTGGATGTAGTGTGTAGCGAAGACCTATCCAGTCACTTGTCAGTCACCTCATTTCGACATCTTACCAACCCTATTATTATGACCATGTTTGACCATAATACCACCATATCATATCCAAGTATTATACCCATTTGACCATATTTTGCAAGCTGGCTGTGTACAATGACCAACTTGGTTCAACAATCCAAGTAACATTAAATGTGGGCAAAGCCCCCCACCTTTCTCCAAAGCTGTCTTCCTCAATAGGATTGCCTTGACACATTGTGTCACAGAACTCCAGCGCCAATGAATCAACGATCCACCTTCGAAACGATCCATAAGACCCCGGTACTCTGCAAGCGGGCCATCGGATTTGAAACAGGATTCCTGGCAAGGCAAGCCAGAGAGTAAGTTTTCCAATTTGTCAAGGTGGTTGCCCTCACTATGTTGATATGACAGAGAAAATAACTTGACAGACTTGACCCAGTAAGTTGCTTTACTAGTCTTAGCCTTGGCTGGGAGTCAGAGTAGTCCCAGAATTTCTGAGTTAGTCCCAACGCATCTGGTTTGTCTGCTTGCACAAACATAACCGTTGAGAGAAACTTCATACCCTGGATTTGCTTGGGTGCCAAGTAAGTCAAATCAAATCAGAATAGTACCCTGGATATTGGCAATTGACCCAAATCAGAATCCCTGCTGATCAAGGCCAAGACACAACCAAGCGATCTCTATAGCCTTTGTTGTTCAGCAGGTTGACCATCGGGGCCAACATCTCCTTAATGTGTGCATGAACCATTTGACAAGGTTGGCCTTGAAACTCAACTCAAACCTTCCTAAATAACAATGTCTAACCAACCAACATGTGGATTGTTTTTCAACTGAATCCGTCAAGCTGCTGAGAACGTTGGGTACCAACTCAATTTTGACAGGGTGTCTTGCTGGATGTTGTCCATCATGTGCTTCACGCCAGGGACCAAGATACTGCCATTGATCGAAAATGTCTGCTCCTTCCCATGAATTTGAGGAACGTCCACAGGCAGATCACCCATGCCATCCTCTGATCTGAATTGCATGCTTTGAAGCCCGCCAAATGAAGAACGCTTTCGCAACAATCCACCGGAGTCATCCACGTTCTGTGTCAAAACTTTATGGACTCGAATTGCTGGAGCCTAGTCAGGGTAAACATCCATCATGTTGAATTCAAAAATTCTGCAAACACCTCCCTGTCAAAAAGTTGATTGACAAATGACAAGCTAATGAATAAAACTCAAATCTGGGAAAATAAAACCCTTGCAAAACCCATGGTGAGAATCCTGAGTCAGATGGCTCTCGACGCCAAAATCAGAACAAAATCCGACAACAGATTCTCCATAAGCTGTCAAGGAATCAGGCCCCACGTCCAGCATAATGCTCCGCATGAGCAGCTCGAATTTGGAAGCCGTGTCGCTACGGCCACTGCCAACAACAAGAGGCGGCAATGTTGATGTCCGCAGGTTGTCTGATAAACTGAACTGCGCAAGCTCTTGCCGTGTGGCCTCTATGACCATGCCAGGATTCCGAATTCGATCTTCGATTGTTACCAGAAAATCAAGCCCTTGTGGCGAACTGTCTGCGGAAAGGCACACAAAAATCTTTTCCGAACTTTGCTGGAGCCGTCGCCACTCCGATTTCCTGAGTTGCATCAGAAGAAGATCCAAACGGAGCCGGGCATGGGACAGTTGTGTGGCAGCAGGGATTTGCATTGTGCGTTGTTTGATTCGATCATTCACAGCAGAGGCTTCGTCTGACCCCAATGCAATCGCCACACTTCGGACCACAACCTCTTGCAAGCTCTCTGTCGAACGCAGCAGCCGCCCAACCAAAAGGCAGTCAATCAACTTGTGCAAAGGAATTGGGGCAGCACGTCGGGGCCGCTGCCGACCCCTTTGCACCACTGCAACATCGGCATCATCAGCATTGGCATCTTCACTTGCGTTTTGCATGCTTGAGCCACTGGCATCAGCGGCATCATATTAATTACAATTATTTGGATACACCACATTATAAAATCATTTGGTTGGTACACCCCATTGGTTAACCCCATTGGTGTCACATATTAGCACTATGGAAACCATCATGTGGGAACCTAAAACTTAAAGAAGTGCTTTCAACGCACCCCTCGGTCCCAAAAGCGAAAATTCAAGCCCCGAAAGGGTACAAAAGCACTTGTTGAAGCCAAATTTTTGAAAAACAGCAACGCAGCCCACGAAGAAATTTAACACTTATACCACTGATTTATGGTGATGTCGGGGATGGTTTATACTTGAATTTACTAGAGTAATATCATCATAGGTGCTTCTTCTGCATCCTCCTATTCGATTGTGGAAACCTAGTGTCAGTATATGTCTCTTGTTCTCTCCTCATCACTTCTTTTAAACACAAACAGTTTTGACACTATAAAAGTTAAATCCCATTACTTCTCAACTGACTCAACTTATAGGCTCCGCTTTTAAGATCGTGATATTGCAAACACAGTTCTTTAATCCATTTGTATAAATCAGGTTTGTAGTTGGGTTTTTTCCCTTAAATTTAGGATGTAGTAACTTTCACCTTTACTTGGAAATTTATTCAAGGCTACACTGTCATTGAGGTTAGGTGTTTTGCCTCCATATTCTGCTTGACAATTTGCTGATTCCCTAAGGTGCTTAAAGAATATTAATATATATATATATATATAATTTTATATTATATTACATTTTTATATATATTATATTATATTATATTATATTATATTATCGTATATTATATTAGAGTATATCATATTATGGTATATTATATTATATAATCTTATATTTATTATTTGATATTATATTATACATGATATTATGTTATTTCAAATTATATCATATTATATCATATTATATCATATTTATATCATATCATATTATATTATACTTTATTATTTTATATTCTATAGTATTTATATGTGTATGTATCTACCATAGACCCAGCAGGTAGACTCATGAAATAAAGGAACCTAGCGGTTCCAACAGCAGGTGAACGAGACGGAGAAGATTCCGGAGATTGGGAAGTCGTGATGGACTCAGGTGGAACAGGTTGAACTAGCCTTGGATACGATTTCCTCAACCCAGAAATATTTCTATCTATTCATTAACTCTTAGATGGTTTCTATCCATCTACAGTATCTGTAAAAAAAACATCTAAGTATCCGTCTATCCAGCTACGTATTTTTTCATTTCAAGATCCATTTTTCCATACACAGCATTTCACTATGTCATCCCCCGGAGTCCATACGATCTCAGACATGCAGCTTGGGAAGAGCATCAGCGAATTCTTGGGTGTGTGGACAAACCCAGATATGGTACTGGTCATATGTCTCTATTTTTGTTGGTTGTGTATATATATATATATACATACATGCATATACATATCCCTAATTTTTACTGCGTAGAACTGCTATCTTTGATGGATAAGAAAGGTGATTTGATGGCTTTTGATAGTCACTTTTCTGGCGAAGAAATGCAACTTTTCTGGTTGCATATTTTTTTCTTGAGGTCAAGTGATGTTGAATCTCCATTTTTCATGGTGATATTCATATTATTCATATTCATATCATGTTCCACCCCATTTTTCAGTACATGAAATCCCCATTTTTTCCTGATCAAATCCTGTTTTTCTCCCCATGTCGGCTACCCGAAAAAGTCTGCCAAAAAGGAACCCTCCCAGTTGGTGGCCGGCCTCACTGGTGCGGCCTTGGCCTACTGGGCCTGGAACAGGTCAGATTTGGTACTGGCCCAGTACGCCGTACTGGGGATCTAGTGGGGATATCGTGGTTTTAGCGGGATAAACATATATAAATTTGTACTATATAAAATGTATATTTATATTTAACTAAATTTAAATAATATAACACATATATGTATATGTAAATATTTAAGATAAAATAGAAATATAATATAATATAATATAATAGAATAGAATAAGAAAATATGATGAAATAAAATATAATAAAATACAATAAATTTTAAAAATATAATATAATATGATTTAATATATAATATATATAAAAAAATAGATATAATATATGTAATATATATATAATATATGTAATATATCTAATATATATATATATATAGTATATAAATATGCAAAATCCGCCCGCACCGAAGGTGCTGGGGCGTGATCTTCCGGATGGCACTCGTAAAAGGTTACAGGTTTACCTGGGGGGGGGGGGGCCCCATTTTTCG